CCACATTTTGACATCGTTGTTAAACAACTAACTCTTCATGCGCGAAAACAACTTACTCAGAAGTTCATTTTCTACCATCAAACTTCATCTTGTTCTATAATGAAGTTTGACCTTCTCTGCTTATAATGCATCTAAGCTCAAAACAAAAACAGGAGCGATAGCATTAATTTAGTTGCAAAAAAACGAAGCTTAAAATACATAGTTCAGTCAAAATGTTTTTTAAGTGACAATCTGTGTCGTCATAGAATAATCTACTATGACTTCAATGGCTATCACTTCAAACAACTTATAAGTTAACTGATTGAAAGAAGTATCCACATACTTATAATTTGCATGGTTACTGTTTTAAAGATCTGTTTACTATGCTGGATATTTTGTGATACACTAAGCACATTTTAGTTATTCAGACAGATGGAAAATATTATGTACTATTCCCAGTTATGGCATGAATTTAAACTAATTGTGTTTGTTTTTTTATCTTCTGTTCAAAAGTTAGCAATTTTTGGATGTTTTGATCCGCAAAGTCATGTGATTGTAAAAGATGATGAGTGTGCTGTAAATCACCATATTGATTTCAAGAACGCATGAAAACATTACAAAAATTAACGAACTGAGTGTTTGAATGATATAGAGCTACGGCGAACATTGACGGAGAAACAATTAGAAAAACTTTAACCGCAGACTTGTGCATGACGAAGGTTTGCGCATAACTGATACCAAAAAACAGGACATGCTCGGTGTTCAATGCTCTCAATTGTAATACAGTTTGTGACGGACAAGCGCATTAATCTACTCGAACACTCACAGTACTCACCAGATCTCGCGCCATGCTACATCTATTTCTTTTCCAAAAGTTAAAAGTACATTTTCAGTCTATAGAAGAGGTGAAGACGAAAATGGCAGACTTTCTGAAGAAGGTGACACCTATCCCCTGAGCCACTATTGCTCATAAAATAGTTTAGAAGAATTAGCTAGATAATGCTAATTAACAAATCTATATTAGCAATCAATATTAACGCGAAGTAACTATGCTCAGATAAACTAAAAATTTTCAATGCACTTATTGGAACTTGATTTACACTTTTAATTTATTGTGAGCCTTTCATCACAAAAAGTTCTTTTTAGTAAATATGACATAATAGTTCTTAAGTATACCGATATATGTAAATTTACTCTGCATAAAAAATTTAATCAGATGTAGATTCAAAATATTAAACAATTCCAAACTAAATTCTAATGGATCGGATTCTTTCGACTGATTATCATTCAAAACATGCATTTATGAAACGAAAAGTTTTGTTCGAGAAATATAAATGTGTTTAGGGGAATGTGTCGGAAAAATTCTTCTGTTTAGGATATGTTTCGAATAACAAACAGTTCAAACATGAGATCACTGAGAAGGAATGCATTTTATGCATATTTTCTCTATTCATAAAGATATTTTTGCTTATCATCATATGAAGGTATCATGTAAATAAATATCTATAGTTCAAAACGTAGTGTCCATTCTTAATGAACAGTTAAGTAGAGTCATCACGTATGGTGAACCTAAATTCCCAGATTACTTTTTAAATATACACAAAATACTTCATAAACTATGCAATTGACGATAGGAATATATTTAATGGTTCAATATCAAAAGGAAAAATGAATTTGCTTAGCATGTGAATGGAACGAAAATATTAAATTAAAAGTTTGTACAATCTATATGTATGTTTTTCTCGTGAGTAAAAATTTATGAGCAAAATTATTGCTGATATTTTGCAGAAGGAGGAAAAAATTCTGATAAAATTACCGATAAAATCTGATAAGATAATGGCATTTCCGGAAAAAAAATCATAACCCTGGTACTGGAACCAAATTTAGTAAGTAAGTTTTTTAAGTATCATGAAAAATCTATCAAACTCTACCTAGTTTTACTACGTTTACTACCAAATGGAATAGCAAAAAATCCCCTCTTTGCCTTAATTTTACCAAAAATTAGCCAAAGGCCTTCATTAAAAATTACATAAATTTTTTTCAGAGTTTCCGTAAAGCCAGAAATGCGGTAAATTTTACCATATTCTGGTAGTTTTGACCATGCATTTGTTCTCAGAGCAGTGAATATAGTATTACACTTATGGTCATCACTTTCGGCAATTTTCCAGACTTCTTTTATGTTTCTAGATTAATCTAAGTTTTTTCAGATTGATTAATTGCTAGAATAGGTAATATAATGACACAAATGTCAGAAGTCGCAATTTGCACCAAATATAACCTTAATTACTCTGTGTTTGCACAACCACAAGCTATTCATTATTATGGTAAGCATTACCAAGCAGATAATTTTTATAAGCCTTTTTATATACCAAGAAACATAAAAACATTTTTGCACTAAATATTTTCCAATCACGTTTAGGTAAGGCATTTTATATATAACAGGTTTTTACGTTTCGATGTGTTAATGCTGTTAAAAATTTTTTTTCATTTTTCTTTAGTTTAAACAGAAGTTGAAACATAAGTTTTGATAACAATGCCAAAACTTTCTATTTGTAATGTAGCTGATGGCGAAACAAATCTGAATAACGTTAAACCGAGATATAAATGTTATTAATTTTAATACTTGTTAATTTTTAATAATATAAAAATTCCTGGTCTATCAGTATTGATATTTTTGACAACATTAATCTTTAGCTAATTAAATACCTGTCAACAAAGTTTGAGTAGAGAAAAAAAAAATTTTCCTCCAATTAATTAGATATTAAAACTGGGCAAAAACAAGTTAAACAGTAAACCTAGAGGGTTTTGTGCTACTTCAAAATAACATTTAAGCGAAAGTTTCGAATGGAAAAATAGTTTTTAAATACGAAACAAACAATTTTATTCTGAAGAAATTTGGTATTTTTAGTCCTGAGTAATCGAAATCCATTTATTCCTTAAGAACATTATGTATATAACAAGATTAAGAAATTGATTAAAAGATTACCAATTCTTTTATTTTTCCCTGTGATAATCCAATTGATATTGGATCATGTGAAAAACGCGATGAATACTGTACCCGAAGAAAACTAAAGAGTAGTAATTACGGATTATTGTCTCGTGCTGGTAAGAAAAAGCACTAAATTTATGGGTACATTTCAAAAATAATTTGCTGCTTCAAAATATGCTTCGAAATATAGTAAAATAATATTTGACAATAACAAAAATCTAAATGGTCGAAAGTCTAATTTTCCGTTAAAACTGATTATTTTAAAGTTGTATATTCTGTCGACTTGCAAAGTAAGTGCACTTTTTTTTCTTCAAAGTCTTACATTAAGTTTAAATGGTGGACTTTCTCAGTCTCAAACAATTTTCGCTTTATTTACATAATTTAATAATAATAATAATTGTTATTATCGTTGTTTTTTTAATATTTCGGACTTTTTATTTTTTTATTTGAAATTAATTAGCAGGAAACTATGAATTGAATTTTTCATTTATCAAGAAAAAAAAATCATTATTTAGGATAAATATGCTACCGATGGATAAAATGTTATCAGAACTTGAGTAGATATATAAAAGTAGAGCATGCCCGCAGCAGTCCATTGTGGGCCAGGAAATATATGGTGGCAAAAGTTCCACTCGTTTGTAACCAAAGTCATGATACTTGCATTGTGGTCATTTTTGTGCCCATTGATACGCAAATATGTTGGTTTTAAGTAGACATTGAGGATCAAACTACAGTCTGCACAGTTTTGTACAGTTCTTCTCTGGTATCACAACGTCTGTCATATAGACACAAGTTGTACAGCGAAATTTTATTTAGTTAAAAATTGTTAGATACTTTATATATTATATATAGAATATAGCAGAATTGAGCTTTGTCATTTGATTTTCATCAATGACCAATACAGAATGTCCTGCTATTTAAATTAGGGAGACAATAATATGTATCTATATAGCATGAAAAAGTAATTGTTTGAAACATTTTCTTGTTGTGGTCGGTGCATTCTTATTGACCAAAAAATATTTATGTGAAAATATCTTAATTAGCATTGGAAAAGCTCGATTTTTTTAAAAAGAAATTAGTTTTCAATAAATAAAAATTTCTAAAGTTTAAAAGCTTACAAAATATCTCATCCTTTATTTAGCAGAAATTACCAATACTATGTATTTATCATCCTTTCTTCATATTATTCTCTAATATCAATAAGTTCACTTATTTTGATTAATATTCCGAATAAAAAACTAAAACCGAAAGGTACGTTCTTTTATTAAAATTTGACCTATGTTTTTACCATTTCACACAGCATTTTATATCATTAACATATTTAAGAAGGCATATAGATTATTATATATTTTGCAATTATTAAAAATTAAATAAATTACATTTCATTTTTTAATAAGTATATTTAAAACAGTATCGAATCAATATGTGGAAATTTTTTCTGAGTGTCTGCACTCTTATTATTGTCGAACAGTTTTTGGTAAAATTGTTGTGTATAGTGCACAATAAAAAAACTGAACTTAACAGCTTTGGATCTTATGACCGGAACTTCACGTTCTAAAACACATTCTTAATGATTCAAAAGGGTAACCAAAAAACCAAAAATATGCTAATTAAACAGTGCAGAAAATATTTTAAGTCAGACAAACGTACTTTCTCTGAATAACACACCTTTTTTTAACAGATTCGGGAGGATTTCTGACCTCCAAAATATGGAAGGTCAGAAATCCATCCGAATAATAAAAATATTAAAAATAATAAAATATTTTTATTTTTTTAATTTAATGATAACTGAAAAATTTTTGAAAATGTATGGTATACAATATTTTATATAACTTTAAAGTAGTTAATTTTAAATGGTCAAATGCAAAATTTGAGCCCGTTTAATGTCATACATCGTTGATATTCGAAATATTTATTGAAATATCATTAACTTTTGACTCATTATTTGGAAAGATATTTTTTTTATTTATACATTTATTCTAGATTTTTATATTTATTTTTCCAGATATTTATCCAGATATTTATTTTTCAGAGGATTTAGAACCAGAATTTACAGAATCAATTCCAAATGTAACTGTTGCAACAGGACAAGAAGCTATCCTCAGTTGTGCTGTAGATAACCTTGGGTCTTATCGAGTAAGTTCAATTGATATTTACTTTATTGCGAAGAAACAGATTCTTTTTACCATAATTAATAATTAAGAAAAACTGTTTTTCCATTTTAGTTATTTTTTTAAATATCATTTCTTGACATTAGTTTCATTCTTCATGGATCTACTCTATGGTATAAAAAATCATATCCATCTTAAATATTTCAAATTTATTTCGCTGAAAATATTCGACATTCCTAGCAGCAAAATTAATAGGGCCACCATTGAACCAACATTCACCAATCTTGGCTCAATAAGGGTTCAAAGAAACGTTATTTTCCCGATATTAGTATTGCAAGATAGAATTGTCTGATTTACCCGATAATTTACCAGCACTTTACAACCAACATCGGCAATATATAGAATTGGCAGATTCACTTGATATTTTATGTTCATTAATCAGTCAATATACGCCCTACATTGGACCCATAAAGACCAAGATTGCCCCTATATAGGAGCAACATTAAAAAATCTAGCCATCCTTATATTAGTTCCTCGGTGCATGTTCATATAAGAGTCATATTGGATTTCAGATATGCTTACTTACCACAAGTTATGCTTACTTATCACAGATACCTGTCAAAATATACGTCCTCAAAATTCTTATAAAAACAAGTGTAGATTCATTCATAGAGAGTCATCACATTAATTGCCACATTAATTTAATGCTGTATAAATTTAAAATTTTTTGATCAGAAATGCTGTGCATAAAGCTATATTAAAGATCATCGTTCTCCTTTTAATGTCCTTACTATAAACATACGATATGCGGGTGCAAGGTGTCGCAAAATATGTGTGATTAAAGATTAATTAGTTAATTTTATGCTTATTTTCACACATAAATGAGATTTTAACACTTAAAGCGAATTTCAAAAAAATTCACTTTATTTTTAATCTGAGACATTTAAATAAAAATAACTTTTAGAAACTTTTAATTATTAACTAAAATGGCTTTAATTTTTATGAATGAGTCCATTAAAAATATAATCTCGCTAGGGTGCATTAAAATGTAATCCTGTTGGATAATTAGTGGAATTTACTTATTATGGCTGCTGGTAAATACCCATAATTCCTCATTCATAAATGCTCATAATGCTCATAACTCCTTCATTTTATTAAAAAATTTGGCAACTACCGAGCTTTCAGTTTGGTATATTAAACGAATATCATACAGTCTTTGGCAAAATTATTAGACGCATTAGATTCTACGTAAAATCTTAATTATCAGGTGATACTATACAGCTTTATTGTTTTTACGTGAATGAAACCGGTTTGCACTTGTTTACGTTCGTGTATCAATTGGTTAAGTTTGACGATATTAATATAAATTTGACGACTGATAAATTAGACGATATGTTACATAAATATAGAATATTTATTATATGAGGTATTATATTAGTATATTATAGCAATTCGTATATTATAGTAATTTTCAGACACACGGTAGTTTTTTAATAATGACATGTCTTGCACGAGTTTGCATGCAATACTTCATATTTAATACTTCGTATTTAAACATACATATAATGGGTGTTTATTCAGGATATTTTTTACATACTTCCTTTTCGTAATTATTTTCAACTTATTGTATTACAATGTTAACCAATTGATACACGAAGGTAAACAAATGCAAACCAATTTCAGCCGCGTAAAAATAATAAAGCTACATACTATCGCCTTATAATAAAGACTTTACATAGAATCTTAAGTATGTCTAATAATTGAACAAGGGACAGTGTAAGTCTTACGAACGCAAATAAAATTTGATTTAGCCTTCTTCTATCAGAATATACTTCAACGATCAATGATCAATGATCAACGATTAATCCTCTTAAGATCCATGTCATTTCTTATTTTCTTTCAGTTTTCTTGGGAGTAAGAATTTCTTTTTAATTGTCCGTATTTTTATTTATGAACTGGTACTTAAAAGTGATACCTTATAATGTAAGAGCTGAATTAGACTTTAGATACTAAAGCATTCTTATTTGAAAATGTTTTTGTTTAATTCAGTATTTAAACATAATCCGCAGAAATTATAGTCATGAATGTGATTTTATCATACGCATTAGTTAGTTTTTACCCAACAATAAATTGAAAATGAATTTTGTCGATTTCGCATTATTGTGATAACAAGTAAAACTCTACAATAAAATCTCAAAAATAAAACTCTACAGTCAATTCCTACTTAGGTAAACAAAGAAAAATTTTATTTTACTAACTTTTTATTAAATAATTCCAATTACTATAAATATGTATATACATATGCAGAAAATCCTCACCGGCCATGTCGTATGATTATGCGACATGTAAAAGATCCCTGGAGTGCCTTATTGGCTCATGGCATTTCCGGCAAAATTAAATTCCTAGTGCACTTTAGCATCCAAATAGAGTCTCTGTGCTGCCATCTAGTGCGGCAGAAACTAGACGTCCAAATTAACATGACCAACGGTATCTCACCCATTGTGGTGGTCTTGAAAGAGTGGATACCACCTCTGGAGAGCGCACTAGGTCTGCTTATTGGCAAGACCGATTGTGCAGCTTATTGGAAATAAAAAAAATTTATATACATATGACAGAATCACAATAATTCGATCTACATGCTTCGCCACTGATGGTATTTATTCTTAATTTATATCCTGCTAAATATCTTATTTAAGAGAATTTTTTCATTCCATATAAAATTAAAATTAATTAATTAAATTTAATTAATTAAATTTAATTAATGAATTAATATTTGAAAAAAGTGTATTAACATCTCAAGTGTCATCCACTAGAAGTTTAAAAAAATGTATTTGAACTTGAGTGAATGAATAAAAACTATTTTATTAACGATTGAAAATTTGAACAAGATATAAATAGGGAGAGTGTGAACTCATAGCAGGAATTGAAAAAAATAATTCAGTTATAAATGCTAAGAAAATATTTCTTTTTAAACTTTTTCCTAAATTAAATTGTAAAAGAGGCGTTTTCTGTATAAAATGACTACACATTATTCTTGACTGAATTTTATTTCTTAAACAGATTTAAGATACAAAAAGAAATGACGGAAACAATATTATACGAATAAGAAAGAATTGCTAGTAGTAGTTTTTTCTCGATACAATACTTTTGATAATACATTTTCGATCTTCCTTGCATTTGCTTGCAAAAGAAACTGTTTATTTTTGCTTATTTACCAAGTCAGACTGGAAATGTTAAAATCACGTCTGTAAGTTGTTTCTGTCTGCATAGGCATTCGTGCAATATTTTGATGATGTTTATGACACTTACACTCAAGTTTTGTTTTTTCTAAAATAAAATGCTTGAAATTAAAGCTTCAATTTGAAGCTCCAAAACAATAAAAATCATGTTAAGAAAATATGAATTAAATTAAATGCTGAGTGTAAACTTTGAGATTAAGCATCCAAGAGCTCCTTTAATTATCATTCAAAAAGATTCAATATTAATTTCAAATATGTTAATGCTGATAATTTTTTATTAGAAAATCATAGTTTCAACTTCGTATTTCTTTAACTATAATTTGAAAATTTTTTTGCTTTATTTAATCAAATTATTTGGTCTTGCTTAATTCAGGTTCGAGGATTTAAAATCGAAAACTAGTTTTGCTTCTAAAGCTACAGATCCTTAGAAAATAATAATCTTAGTATATTTTTGTCGAAATGTAAGTTTAAAAACGTTATATATAACACCAGACCACTTAAATCTTCCAGGCGAGTGCATTGTCAGGATTAAAATTGTATAGAAACCCACGCCCTGAAATGTCATGCACTGCTAGGGCTTTTACCCTTTATGAACTGTTTCTTCGTGTGATCCTGAACAAGTCATAATGAGGAAGCATACTCTCCGCGAAAGACGATATTTTCGTGCTTGGATTTCTAGGCAATCTTTAATCCTAAAGATGAGTCCTAGCTCTCCCAAAAGTTAGTCGATACATTTATGCGACCCTTTCTTACTTATAAGCTTTTTAAAATTGTACATTTAGGAAATAATAGACTAACGATATCATTAATAGAAAAACTGTAGTTAGGAGTTTTGAAATGAGCGAGCATCTAAGATCTGTAAAAACTCGCAAGAAACAACAAAAAAATCTGTTCCCCACTAATATTATCTGAAAATTGAAATGTCGCTAAGCATGAATTTTTGAGAGTTATGTTTTAAATTTATGAATTTCTTTTGAGTTGAAGTCGAAAACTATATTAATGAGTCTCCCTTGGCAAGCTACACATTCTGTCTTTTATGCTTGATGCTCTGCTCTGTAAGTAAGAATTGGTAACGAAACCAAAGTTTGTCTGATATTACCGTATTTCAGCAATCCATGACGCATTTAATGTAAACTATACATTAATGAATAAAATGCCTTTAATATGTATACTTATAAAATGCTGTGAGTTGTAACTATGTATCCAAATTATACTTTAAAATTCTACATACAATTAAGAGGTATTATTTGCTTAGCGCGTTTTATAATTAATTTTATCAGACAATTTATAAATGCATTTTAAATAAATATGAAAAGTATTCGGCACTACTTGGTTTGCTAAAAACCGCTAAATTATTTTTGTAAGGAAGAATATTTGTGTGATTTGCTGTGGCGACAAATGCCTAAATAAATAGATATTTCTTTTTCAATGTTAGAAGCGGTTAGTTTTTTATTTGATTATGCATTTTATATTAACAATATAGGATAAGTATATGATATTTTAGTTTTTATTACGAATGGATTGAAAAATAGATTAGCATCAAATGTACTTGGATACAAATTATACTTGAAACGAGTGTACATATTCTAGAATATTTGATCATCTCTTTAAAATAAAACTAATTTTTAATCATTGAAGCTAATTTGAATTACAAATAATATCATACATATAATAAATGTGAATGCTCCTTCTATTTTTTATTTCGGCATATTATTCAACATCAAAAGCCATTAGTCAACGTTGTCTGCCCTACATCATTTAAAAAACCAACTTCAATAAACAATGT